CTCTAGTGAATCCTTTCACCTCCTACCCCCACGTCTGGCATTCTTGTATGCATAAATAAATAAAAATAAATTTTAAAAAATCTGGTGGGATTAATTATATTTTGTGTAGCCTAATAGGTCCAAACTTATTATTTCAACATGTAAACAATATAATAATAATGAGATGTTTTACATTCTTTTGGGACTAAATCTTTGAAATCTGGGTTGATTTTACCCTTAGGGTCCATTTTAATTTAGACACTAAACATTCACTGGAAATAGTTGATATATTTAGGTTCATAAAATTCACATGTTAAAATGTAGATTCACTATGGAAAATTTGTTTTAAAAATATTTAAAAGTTACAGAATAATTGAAGCAATTATTCAATCTATTTTGAAATTTAAATTAATTCAAATAAAATAAAATATGAAATAAAAAGCTCAGCTCCCCAGTTGCACCAGCCAGACTTCAGGTACTCGATCACCTCACAGGGTCACTGGCTATAGACTGGTCTATGGAACTATAGGGAAAGTGAAAAGTGAAAGTCCACCAGGCTTTTTGTGCCACTGGCCTCTGTGGCTGCAACCTGCGGCCTTGGTCATGGCTATGCAGAAAGCGCTTGAGCATGTGGGCCTGGGGTGCACATGCCTGAAGGGGACACCTGCAGCATAGGTGGAGGCCTGTGCTGAAGTGGACACACCTGAGCCCAGCGCTATATGGGCAGCATCACTCAGGGATGGAAAATGGCCATGGGAGAAGAGGCGAGACAGCGAGGAGAGACAGGACAGAGTCCAGAGAAAGCAGAAAAATTTACTGGGGACCGGGGTGGGCTTGGTTGCTGCCAGCCTCCTGGCTTTCCGGCCTCCCTGCCTTGCCAACCCACAGGCTTGTCACTAGGGGAACAGAGAGACAGAAGTATTTTATTTTTTAATTTTTTAAAAAATGTATTTTTTATGCATACAAAAACTGGGGGGCAGACCAGATGTGAGGATAGGAGAGGATTCACCACAGACAGAGTAGGGAGCAGAACAGGCAGATCTACTGAAACACACTGCTGAGGGGAGCAGTGGGCAGGACATGTGGTTTACCTCCCTGGCCTGGGATCGCACTAGTGCTGCAGGGACTGTGGATAGCTTCATAGTGCTGCACTTTAACCCATGGTGCCACCAGGGAGGGCCTAAGATAGAAATATTTTAAACAACACATAATCAATTCAATCCAGGTGGTAAGAAAATTTACATATTGCAATGTCCTTTTTTCTAAAAAGAAGCTTCAGACACGAGGGAAAAGCTACAGGTTAAATGCATTCTAAAATATACATTGTTTCAGTTGCCTGATACTGTGAAGCCAATTACTTGCAAAGGTAGCAGCTTAAAACAATAAACATTTATTATCACCTCCTTTCTGAGGGAGGACTCAGGAGGAGCTTAGTTGGGGATTCAGACCTGGGGTTGAGGATGCAGTCACATCTTTGAACCAGCCAGTGTCTCAGGCTGCACTAGCTTTGAAGGACCCACCCGGTACATGGTGGTTGACGGCACCCCATTCCTAAGGTTGGACTGATGTTCAGTTCTTCATCAGGTGGGCCTCTCCATAGGCCCCTCTACATTTCTCAAGACAAGGCAGCTGGCTTTCCCCAATGAAGGAAGAAGAAAAGAGAGAGAGGAGAAATTATTTTAGATGAGTTTTTTCACTTATTTCAGGCTGCCTTAACAAAATGCCACACACTGGGGAGCTTAAAACATGATTTAATGTCAAAGATTAGGGTGTCAGTAGATTGAATTTCTAGTGAGAGCTCTCTTCTTGACTTGCAGACAGAGGACTTCTCTCTGCCTCCTTATATGGTGTGTGTGTGTGTGTGTGTGTGTGTGTGTGTGTGTGTGTGTGTGTGTAGAGAGAGAGAGAGAGAGGGTGTAAGATGTTTTCATCTGTACAATGACCTTTGCCCTATGAACTCATTTAACCTTCCTAAAAGTCCTGTCCCGAAATACAGTCACATGGGAGTTAGAGTTTAAACAGCTAATTTGGGAGATTACAGTGATAATAATTTTATAATATATGACTACTTAGCTTTAGATCTACATGAAGGTATATTTTCCAGTGAAGTGATATGTCTTTAAAATTTCTATCAAAATATTAGAGGAGGCACAAATAGCTTGCAGTACAGAATACCATTAGCCATGAGTTGATCACAGTTGAAGGTTAATGGGGCTTCGATATACCATTCTCTGCTTTGATGGATGTTCGATATTCTTCAAGACAAAATTATTTTTGATGGCCGGTACTCCTTGAGAGCAGAAGTGGAATCAACCACGTCCAGAGAAGATGACTCTAATGGTTGCTGAATAAGTGAGTGGGCATGACAGCCAGTGCTGCTTAATGTAGACCGGAGAGAGAAACATATTGACTGGGGAAGTGAGGACATGCAGTTTCAAGAATTTCAAGCACAGAACTTTAGAACTACACCATGAGGCAGGCTGCACACTAATTTGGGGTAGGATACCAGGAGTCTGTCTTGACCTTAAAATATCAACTTAAGCTCACTTCCCCAAGTGCAGAAGTAGATTGAAGTCATTCATGCATTCATAGACTATTTAGTAAGCACCTGCTATGTGCGAGAGGTACACGGATAACTATGCCAGTATCTGTTCTGAAAGAGTTCACCATCAAGCTCAGCGGAACTCAGGGCAGTTCAGGGAAGAAGACCCATGGTGGCGGCTCATTTTGGGAGAAGAGGGAGGGGGTGGGTGTCTAAGGCCCTCAGCACAGAGGGCAAACCCAACTGCAATGACAGGGATCAGTGCTATTACCCACCTGGCCCACAGAGGGGACACTAGCCTCTCCCAAATGAAAGACCCCAATAAACTCAGCCTACTGAGTCAAAGCCACAGTAAGTGTACAACAGCATCTACAGAATTTGAATGATGAGAGGAATCCCTGGCCTCCACTGACATTTGCTTTGGGCTTTGTAATTTGCAAAATTCTGTCCCAAGATTGATCTCATTTGTCCTCTTGGGAGTGAGAAACCAGCAGGGTTTGAGTTTTCAGTCAGAGGACCCAATCTAGCATTCCTTGCCAGCTGTGGGACTAAGCCACAGCATGGAACCACTCAGAATCCACTTTTTTGGTAACATGACTAAACAATCCTACCCCCTCTACAGTGTTGTGAGGATTGAGCCAAAGTGTTTTGTAAATATTCTGGATGTCCATTTTTATGTGACCACCAGAGAGGATGACCTCAGATGCCAGGCCAGGAAAGTCAGGGCTCTGGCAGATTGCTCCCCCTGCTCAAACCCCAATGAATTTCCAAGCACACTAGCCCAGCTCCCTGTGTCGTCAGAACACAGAGGATACAAAAAGCCTGTTCTCCTGCCAGAAGGGGCAGCCAGGAGGTTGACCATCTTTGACTTCTTATCATTGTCCCTGTTCTCCAGCGGACTCGAGACAAAAGTTTGAGCAATGTGATTTAGACTCAGATGGTTTTGCATGTTGGCCCAGTGAGCTGTCTGGAGAAAGGACTTGGAGTGAGATCTTGCTTCTGAGTGGCTGAGGGGATTGGAGCTTCAGGACACTTTCTATTCTGATTGGTTGGGGCAACTGGAAGAGGGTGAAAGACCAGTCCCAGGGTAGCTGGTGACAGGAGAGTCTCCCGTGAAAGGGAAGAGGTTAAAATGTGACTGCATCTCCCTTCCTGCCACTGACGATTTTTCTCTCTGATTCCTGAAGCTTTTTGAAGTGCTTTCCTACGTAGATGAGCACATTCCCCTTCACTGCAGCTTTGTGTCATGCAGTGTGTCAGCGGTTTGAATACTCAGAGGCAGGAGAAGTCTTTAAAAAGCCTTCAGTGACTTGTCAGTTACTACTGGACTGCTCTGGACCTAGAATTCCGGAGATGATTCTCCTCCCTTTAGTCTTTGATGGAGGGGAGTCTAGGAACATGTCACTCCATCTTATCCCATTAGCGCAGCCAATGGGATACATTTTCCAGATGACAGTTAGCACCTTGGAAAGTTTAAAAATTGAATGGGACAGGTGAGTGATCGATTTTGATGGAGAGCATGAAAACTGGGCAGCTGGGATGAGAACAAGGAGGTGGAGGGGGCTTATCTTGACAAAACTTAATATTCCTGCACTTCTAGGGCCACTTTACATGACTGAAGAACTTCACTTTCACAGCTTACCTGGTGCCTCACTTTATGGGAGCAGTAAGAGAGCCCCTCAAGAGTTAAGAACGTAGGCTACTAACTTCTTGGAGAGGCACATCTCTGGACCCACTGGAGTTCCGATCCATACTTTGCTCTTCTGCCACCTGCTTGGATTAGCACAGGGTACCCAGCTCCCCCGCCAGTCCCCACAGCCTGCGTGTGGTCCAAGGTGTGTGCATTTGAGAGAGAGAGAGAGAGAGAGAGAGAGAGAGAGAGAGAGAGAGAGAGGCTCCAGGACACACACAGTTGTACCTGGAAGTCTTTCGGTGTGCTGCCCAAGGGTATTGGGGGGAGGGGGGCTTGCTGCCCTTGAGTTGGTCCAGCAGCGCAGGGGGTGGGGGAGGGCCTGGGAGGGGAGGTTGCTGTGGAACGCAGGGAGCGCTAAGCCTTCTGGCTCGTCTAGGCCTAGCTCCCCTCCTTTCAGCTTCCCAGCTTCTGTTTCCCTATCTTCACGGGTTTCCGATTTCCTCTTCAGTCTCCCAGACCTGGTCCCCAGGGCCATTGGCTCCGAGCCCCCTTTCCAATAGTTCTTATCTGGCAGCAGGAATTCAGGGAGGGAATTACGTCATAGGGGCTGACTAAGAGACCCTCGGGAGGGGACTCCCAAACCGAGTGAGGCGTTCGGTGCTTGGGGCACGCACTCCGCACTCCGTCTACCCAAGCCCTCTACACACCCTCAACCCCTCCTCGGCCAGAGTCTCGCCCAGGTGACTTGAGGCCACCCCGCAGCGCCAACCGCTAGGACCCCACCGCCTCCTCCCAACCCCTCGGCAACTACTCTGCATCTGTTTCGCCCCCCACCTCGCCCTAGCCAGCCCCTAGACGGACTGGAGTCCGTTCCAGATCCGTGCCGGGTTTCCTCCGCGTTGCCAGGGTCTCCGCCTCCTGGAGCAGCCACCCGGGCCTGGCACTAGCTAGGGGTGGGAGCTACACGCACGCTGGAACCCCGACTCTCAGGGGGCTCAAGCCCGCAAACCCAACTGAACCGCGGCGCAGACCCTACAATCGCGCTCCACCTCGGAGTCGGGACCCGACGGCGCGGCTCTGTACCCACACGTCATCCGAATTTGACCCTCGGGGGCCTGAAGTGACCCCTCTCTCGGCACTGCTATCTACGCGCCGCGCCGGACCCCGTACCCTTTCTCAGCATCGCGGCCTGGCTCCGACTCCCGCGAGGTAGGGGGGCGGCCCGCCGCGCCTAGGGGCTGGGGGCTGGCGTGCTCCCCGATCGCTCCCGGAACCAGGCCCGCACCAGGCCACCGCCCGCCAGAGAAAGAAAGCCGACGCGCCCCCAGCGACCCAACCCTCGCAGTCCGGAGACCTAGATAACTAGTATGGGACTTCGCTTAGGTGTTCAGATGTGCTTTCCCGTCGTCCTGTCCCTGCCAGTCGCCATTTCTCTCCCACCTGTGGCCAGAATCCAGTGTCCAGGGGGACCCCTGACTAATAGCTTCCTTCAGAATCTTACCCCTTCCTGCTTTCCCCTCCCCACTCCAGAAGAAGGGAAGCCCCTCCAGTAGAGCCCCGCCCCCTCCTCCACGGCTGTGAACCTCTGGGGTACCCTCACTCACACACCCCGCCCATTGGTCCCTCTTCCTCTTCCCAGCCTCTGCCCCACTTCTTCCTGTCTCCCCCGCCTTCGCCTTCGTTCTCGAGGTCTCAATTCGCATTCTGCCGCTGTTCTGGCTTTCTCCTCCCCTTGACCGCGCTCTCCCCAACGCCGGGGGAGAAGGGGGTGTGTCACGCTGCTTTCTATTTATGGTTTCCCTGGGGAGGGGGTGCGTGCTAGGACTTTTTTGGCTTCTGCTAGGCCCTGAGTCACGAGGTGTCATGTCTGCGACTCAGAATCAGTGCGTCTTCCCGCTACCCTCTCCCACCCCAATCTCCCTGTCCGCCTTTGTCTCCTTCCTGCCTTCGTTCATGTTCTTTTCGATCTCTTCTTTGGGCGCTTTGTTTAGCTCCCCTCTCTTTGTCTCCTCCTCTCTCTCCCCGCTGTCGGCCAGGTTCCTTCCTCTTCCAGCTCCCGAGAAACTGTCGACTTCAAGAGCATCGATATTTCAGGTGTGTGGGGTGCGGTGGTGGTGGTAGGGTAGAGGGGTGGGCTCCCAGCATGCCCAGCCATGACTACAATCCTCCCCTTCCTGGAGTGATCATTCATATTTATGAGGCTGAAGGCAGATGCAGGGTTGTGGGAATGTGGATGGGAAAGGAAATGCTGTCCCTCTCCCTGGACCTTGGTCCAGAAGATCAAACTACATCTCCCACAGTACCCTGGAGGCACAAGGCTGCTGCTGTCTCTAGCTCTGCCTAGAGACACACTGTGAGAGTTTGAGAGTCAAGTAACCAAGTTAGAGGGGGCTACTCTGGAGGGTGGGAAGGGATAGGAGCTTGGAACAAGGTTCGTAGGGGCAGTTACAGCATTGGCTCTGCCTGGAATCCTTGACTTGCTTTATCCCCAGCCCCCATATCCTCCTGGGCTAATAGACATTGGAACCTTTGTGTCCCCCCAAACTTGAATAGGAGTAGGGAGTGTATTGGGAGAAAAATGAATTGGCATGTTCCTCCATCCTCCCTGTGACCCTGAGGACTAACCCTTCCCCTTAGAAATAAGTTTATCTGAGATACAGAGACACCTTTTGGAAATTGTCTCACCGTCTGGAAAGCAAGGGAGGGAAATGGGCCTGGTGTCTTGCATTATTTGGATCTATTCCAATCTTCGAGATCCTCACATTCTGCCCCTCTCTGGGGCAGAGCTGGAGTCACCACTAGACTACCGGCTTGTATTTTTCAGGGACCTGGAGCAACTGGAGAGGTTGCCTGGAGATGCAGATGGAAGTCACGACCTAACCTGCTCCTCTCTGGACCCATTGTCCCCAGAGCAAGGTGCAAGGAGTCTGATGCTTGAGCTGGCCCCAGGCTTATTGTCAGCATAGGAATTGCTGCCATTGTGGAGAGGGCAGTGAGGAGGGGGTTGTCCTCCCCAAACCCCATCTCTGGTTCTGGGTCAGCTTTGCCCTTAGCACTTAGCACCTTTGACCCTGTTGAGAACCCTGTTGAGAACCCTTTCTCTTCTGATTTGGAGATGCAGAAATACCAAAAGGAGGCCTCACTCATTGCCTTGAGAGCTAGGAAAACTTAATGTTTACTCTGCCCAAGTGGAGTCACCTTAGACAAGAGCTTAACTCCTTGAACACAGTGGTCTCAGCAGTCCTGGTCTGAGCCCATGTTTCCTGCTCTTCAACGATACTGGCTGACACTGTTACCTCAAATAGACTTACTTAGTAGAACCTTAGCATCAGGAAAAAAAAGGGGGGGGGGAGATGTTTTGAAGCAAAGTGTACGTTTATAGTATGGAAATTAAGATCAACCTAAACTGCTCTTTAGTACCACAGTACCACTGTGTGTCTCCTCTTCCAACCCTTGGTCGTATTTTTATTTAAAAAAAATTGGTAAGTTCATCCAAACCAATATCATCCCCACACACAAAGTTGCTGGTATATGTGCCCTCTGGGATGTAGATGAATGAGATGTACTGTGAGGGAAAGGTTCTAACTGATTAAAAGAGGGGAGGAGGGTTTTAATTGGTTGCTTTGGTTGGTCTGGGGGAGAGAGGACTGGAAATAAGGAGACATCAGGACTTGGGGAGAAAACTTTCTCTTTGGCCCTGCCTCTGGGCAAGAAAAGTAAAAGAGTCAGAGGCCAAACTGGTGCCTAAAAAGGAGACTTTGAAGACTGAAAGGGCGGACAAAATCCTGAGTTGAAGGCAGGCAAGAATTACTGTAAGGAAAAAAAATAGAGGGAGAAGGGAAGGAAGTGTATCTTTGGACGGAGTTAGGTGGGAGAGGGCCATGAGTGACCTTGGTTGACATGTTGTTTGCTGAATGTCCAATAGAGAGAAGCCTTTCAAAAGCCCTCAAGTGGAGCCAGCTCTCCCTAAAATGGAGGAAGAGGCAGAGGGCAAAGCAGAAGGAAGAAAGGGGCCATTTTGATTAACCAGGGAGGGATTACTTTTATTTCCCTAATGGAGCTGCTCTATCTGTCTACTCCTTTGGTCTAATATGTGTGTTGGAGTATGGACAGTCCCACAGGGCTACAATATGGAGACCTGGGTCTGCACGGCCTCCCTTTGCTCTGGCATTATAAATGGCTGTGGCAAGAAAGGGAATCGAACCCTTTGCTTTTTCCCAGGCACCCTCTTATAGGCAGAGTGGAGATGAAAGGAATTTCTCCTGTTTTGCAAAAAAGTCTTGGAGAGGTGGTGGAATCCTTGAGGGTTCAGGATTTACCCCCTCCCCTTGTCCCCAGGGTCTTTTCTCCTTTGAGTCCTGGGAGTAAGGGGGAGAAGGCTCTAAGGAGCTGAGGGGGTGTGAGGTTTGTCTGTAGAGTCTTGGGTAGGTTGAGTCAACATGGGGCTGGGAGCTGGGCAGGGGTTGAGGATGGGCAGGGGTCCTCTGTCCCCAGGGACTGTGTGGAGAGCAGAAGGGGTGTTTGTGTGGGAAGGGATGGTGGAGACTGTCTAGCAGGGTTAGATGTAGATTGGTGTTCTGACCGGGATGCTGGGTTCTCTCTTTGCTGCAGGGTAAGGAAGCTGGAAGCCAGCTATGGCATAGCCACCTCAGAGGTTCCTAAGTCTGAAAAAGATACCGGCCCTGAACCTGATGCGAGCCCTGCTCAGAGACCTGACCACAGGAGCCTGAGGCAAAGTCCAAGTCTCAGTTGGGGCTTGAGACTGAAGCCCAGTCTCTGCGGGCTGAGTCAGCGTCTGAGGTCAAGGCCAAGTGCTTGGGGGCAAAACCCAGGTCAAGATTGGGGCCTGAGGCCGACTGTTGGAGTTCCTGGTGACCGGCAGTTTGAGGAGGTGCTGGCCATCTCTGGGGGGGAATCTACGGTGGTCTGCACTACCTTCCCAGCCGCTACCACAGCTGGTTCTAAGACCACCATCGCTCCGCGGTGGTGCTGGCCCAGCCCAGTCGAGGAGTGATGAGAGTCGGGGGCGGGGCCCAGATGAAAAGGGTGAGGCTTCGTTGGGGATCTAGGATGGAGAGATAGAAGCTTCTCCCCCAATCCTCCTCCGATGCTGAGGAACCAAAGTCTGCTTTAGAACCAAAGAGCAGGGCGTGCTGACCCAGCCGGTGAGGGTGGAGTAGGGCCTGAGTACAACTCAAAAATGTGGGGGTATCCAAGGGTGGGGGAAGGGTGAGAGCTTCGGTATTTGAATTCGTTTGAGGAATCTGGGGCAGGAGAGGTAAAAGAGGGGATCAGGAAAGAGGGAGTAAGTCGATGGGTGGGAGCCAGGATCCCCGAGTAAACTGAACTCTCGCTCAAAGATGACCTGAACACTTTGCGCAGGACCGGCTCTGTGACGGGCGGGGCTCTGAGGAAGCGGGGCGTGGCAGCTATCAGGCACTTTGCAAGCTCTGTGGGTGGAGCCCAGGCTCGGAGGCGCAGTGAGTGGTCAGGAACCTGGAGCCCAAGAAGCTGGAGCATCTCAAGAGGTGGAAGAGATCCCAGCAAATGACATTATGCTGACTGTGGAATCCGAGACCCGAGTGATGAGAGAGCTTCCTGGGCAGGCCCTGGGTCTGGCCTGGAGCCCCGATGGTGACGACGGAGTGCTCGGCGTGTGGGAAGAGGCAAGCCCAGAGAGCCGAGAGACTTGGCAGGGGCGGAGGCAGGGAGGGGGCCCCCTAATGGCCTCGGTCCGCAGATCGCGCTGGAGTCGATGCACGTGATCGACGCCAGGGAGATGGCGCTGGTGGAGGGGCTGCGCGTGGCGCCCTGGGAGCGTGGCAAGGGCGTGGCAGGGCTGCTGCAGGGCTTCTGCTCGCAGCTGGTCAAGCAACAGTACCCAGGGGTCAAGGTGGTACGGCTCACCCGGGACGACCAGCTGGGCCCCCGGGAGCTGAAGAAATACCACCTCATTACCAAGCAGGTGAGGACAAGGAAGCTTGGAGGGCCGGGTCCTTCCCTGGGCTTCTGGGCGTCCTCCCAAGCCAATCACAGGCTGTCTTTCTCAGACCCCCCCTGAGCCCTGTCTTGGGATTCCCGGTCCTTGCCTAATCCTTTTGCCCACTGCAAGTCAAACAGCTTCTGAATCCCAACCATCAATCTCAGTCCTGACTACTCCAGGGACTGCAGAGTCTGGGCGTCCGGACTTCTGGGAGGGACCTTGCCTCCCGCACATCGATCCTGTTTTCTTCAGGGACTCTACCATCCCAGTCTGAGACTTTGTCCTTCCTCTCCATCTCCTGCTTCCTATCTACCGCTCTGCTTCCTTCCCCTCGAAACCCAGGGACCACACACCCAGTTCCTTGGTTACTACACACTGACTCCCCCTCTTCTTGCGAACCAGGGTGTTCAGAGGCGATGTCCCAGTTTCCTCCATGCCACCCTCCGGGACCCAGGCTTTCATATATCCCACTCCACCAGGTCCTGCAGGTAGGTCTTCCCGAGGGATTCAGTTGGGAGCCCCTGGACGTAAACGTGGGAATGAAGATATCCAGAGGTGCCGGGTTTGCCAGCCTTTCCACCGCCAGCCCCCTCCTCACTCATACCCCCCGCATGGCATCTGGCATCCGTTTGATGCGGTTCAAGGCGTCCGCCCTCCTGGCTGGGCTGGGTGCGCGACTGGCAGCGCTGAGGGCCTCTGGCACCTTCTCGCCGCTGCCCACCGAAGCCGTGTCAGAGGCAGGCGGCGACGTGGCACGCCTCCTGCTGTCGCCCTCCTTGCAGCGCGACGTGTTTCCGGGTGGGACTATCATCCAAGACTGGCAGCCCTACCGGCCGAGTGAGAGCAACCTGCGCCTGCTGGCGGCCAAGGGCCTGGAGTGGTGCGTGCACAGCCGCGCGCGCCCGCGTGTGCTCACTCTGTGCACGCGCCCCTCCCCCACTTCGCACGGTGCAGACGGCACGTGGCACTACCTCAACATCAATGCTTTTGGCAGCGATGGCGAGCAGGCCTCAACGTCATGCGTCAGCTCTTCCTGGCGCCCCAGTTGTGGTCACGGCTGGCCGACTTCTGCCAGGACGGGTTGGGACTCGCGCTCGTCAAGGGTTACTGAACAGGTACTGAACAGTACCTGCTGGAGACCGACATCTGAAGCCTCTCTCGGCGGAGAGGAGCACTTCAGACCGTTTCCTTCCGCAACCCCAGAAGGCCCCGCCCCCTACGCCGCAAGCTCCGCCTCCTTTCCAGCCCTCCGCGGAAAGTTCAGACACCTACTTACTCTGTGCCAGTCCCTCCTCCCCCCACCCCCCACCCGGACACTTAGCTCTCTATCTGCCAACGTGCCTCTAACGTCCCCCAACGCAGTTGCCCACACTCAATTCTGAACCGTCTCCAATTGGAGAATTTCCTCGCGCTGCCGCGTCCACCCTGCCCTATCCCTGCCAAAGAACCAACTTCTTCATAGGCTTGCGGGACTTTTCCTATCTGTTACCCTGATCTGGAAGTGAATTCTACCCTTCCTGGGGTCTTCTGTCTGCTTCTTCCTGGGTAGAAGTGGGCAAAAGCGCCTGTAACCCGTGGGACCCAGGCGGGAGCACAGCTGGCCACGACATAACACTTTCTTCCTCCAGCCCTTTCTCAAACCCTCAGAACAAGTCCTGCAATCCTCTGCTTACCACCCTCTCAGGCTGCGGTGTCTCTAGATTAGTGTCCTCTCCTCTCTGTTCTCCCCGCCTTCCCTTGCCCCATTCTACTCCTTTCTGGACCTCCAGGACATTTAACTCCTCGTTTTTTTCTTGCCCCTCCGTTCCCATTCCCATTCCCATTCCCAGTAACCTTCCTTGCCTGTCCTTTATGCATAAGGAGCCTCGGTAAATAAAGTACACTTACAATACCTCCCCCTACTTGTCCACCCTGGTGGCTACCTACTTTGAGGCACTTTTCTGAGCCTGCCTCCCTTTCACAAATCCCTTGGAAAATGTTGCTAGTACGCACGCCACCAATCTGCCATGAAGCAGGCCCATGATCCAGGGGGTTCAGACTGCAGACTTTGGTGTACTGGAGGGCAGGTCCATCAGCCCAGCCTGGGGACTGTGTCTCCTGGGTCTAACCAGTATGATTTTTAGTGTGACTTGGAACCACCTCCCGATGTTTCCTGGACACCCCTCCCATGCATTGTTGCTTTATGCTTTTTGTACTTTGACACTCTTCTACACAAATGCAATAATGACAACTACATTTGCACAGCACTATCCTGACGCTACCCTCACTTCTACCAGAGGAAATGGAGTTTCAGATAGTTCAAGTAACTTCACAGTCACTCACAGCAGCCAGCAGCGACTAAACCTAAGTTGTCTAAAACCTAGAGCATGCCTCAGAACCTCACACTGTGATGGTGGTAACTTGAACTTGTTGGACAGTGGGCTGTTGCTTGAGATTCGTTTACAAGGAGCACAGGGCTCCCTAGGGATGGAATCCAAGACTCAGGCAGAGAAGGGCTCCAGGAAGTGGAAGAAGCGGGTTAAGAGGCTAGCCTCTATTTCCCTACTTTTCCCAGTTCAGTTTTTTTGCTGCAAGGCTGTTCTCCTTTGCTTGACTGTTTCCAGAGTCTGGTCATTCCCTCCTTGTCACTTCAACCAAGGCTGTATTGCAATAAAATGAACCTTAGCCCACCCTCCGTGTCTGTTTCACTTCTCAGTGGGGGAGGAATGAGACGCTTTATCCTCCCCCCTTCCCCAGCAGCCTGTATTAGAGAGGATCTCCAAGCCCTGTGGCAATGGGGCTAATGACTTCCTGGAGGGGAACTGGGGAGGGCTGCTGGCCGTTCACGCCCCCACCCCCACCCCAGCCTAGCGGCAGAAAGAAGCAGTTGCTCAGACCCGAAGCCGGCAGCAATGCGACGCCCTCACTCGCCCAGCGGTCTCGCTTTCCCCTAGACCTGGGAGTGGGCTTCTTCTGTGGACTCACCACTCAAGTTCCCCAGGGCATCCAGGACCAGCTTCCCTCTGCCCCACGACCAAGGCGTCTAACTCCCAGCTCTGACTCTCTCGTGGCCAAGCACCCTCGCTTCCCCATTCCTGGTGGGCACTGCGCCAAGCAGGAGGAGGTGGAGGGAACCTGGGCACCGCCCCCCGGGAGCCAAGCTGCGGAGCGGCGGAGACTGCGATTCCGGAAAGTAACACGCGGGGGCGCCAGGACAAGTGCGGACGCGGGCGAGGCAGCGCAAGGTGGTTTCGGTCCGTGTGAGTGTGTCCATGGGCGTCTTTGTGTGTCTGCGTTTCTGTACATGTGTGTAAGAGTAAGAGGGGGTGTGGGTAGGATGTATTTGGGTCAACGTTCCTAGTGTTCCCCGGGATCAGGTACTCCAAGTGGATTTTTGGCGAGGACTATGCTTGATACTATGTACTTGTGGATGGGGAGGCGAGTCACTGGCAGATGTATCCTCGAGTGTGCAAAGCGTAGCCTGTGAGACCCTGAAACCGCATCTTAGATTTTGAGGTCACACTTCCTCAGGGTTTTCACCCCTCCCACCATTCCCTGTTAAAGGAATGAAAGCTGTCAATATGAATCTCTATTACCCTGGTCACATTTTCAGCATATCTGGGTGACCCCTTTAGGTTAGGTGGATTGTGTTTGTGTAAGTGGGTGTGTCTCAGGGTATCAGTGTAGCTCTTCATGAGTGTAGTGTGTTATGTGTGACAGGTAGATTTTGGAGGTTGGTTCAGGATGATGGAAGTACACGATTTTCTTTCTCTTGTTAGTTTGTGAATACCACCTTCCTGAGTGTTTTTGCCCTTCTTGGTCTCTCCAGCAGCTGTCTCTCTGTGTCTCTCTTCATCTCTGTCTCTTTCTCTTTCCCTTTCTTGGTGACTCATCTCTGCGGCTTTGCCCTCCTCCGACTTGCTGGGTCTCCCCTCCCCCACTCAGGAGTGGGTGGGGGTTCAGAGACTGGGACCCTGGGATTAAAAATCGGGGTGAGTACCCCTTCCTATAACTCATCATCCCCAGGTCTATCAGTGGCCCCCAGCCCTCTCCCAGTCTCCTTTCCAGGACTCCCCACCCCCTGGACTGGGATAGAGCAATGATGCTTTTAAAAGGAACCATTTTCAGAAGAACCTTTAGCATTTTCAGTTCAAAGTGGAGACCCCCTACCCCTCTCATAAAGTGCCACCCTCCATGCTTGTCCCCCCATCACTGACGCAACAAAAGGCTGCAGAGGTGAGTCACCGATTGGGGGGAAGGGAAGGAAATGGGGAGACGGTGAGCTACAGGGGGCCCAAGCCCCTGCCCTCATTATTTCTCCTAAACCTTCTCAGGTGAAAGACCCAGTGCTCTGCCCCCCTCCCCTGGTTTTCCAAACCCTCAGCCTGGGTTACTAGTCAGCTGGACCCCCGTCTTCTCCTACCCACCTGGAGAATATGAGAGATTCAGAGCAAAGACAAAGAGAGATGGATTTATACAAAGAACACAGCAAACACCAGACACCCCCTCCAGGTCCCCATCTCAGCTTTGCTTTTTCCAGCTGCCTCTCCATTCCCTTTCTTTCCTGCCTTCTCCTTTCTTTCCCTGATCCCAGCAACTTGTCCCCTGCCCAGTTCTTTTTCAGAAGCCCCTAGAGGCAACAAGGGTATGTAGGACAAAGTATGTTTCTGAGAGGTGGACTGTGTGTGAGTGAGCTGACCCCCACAGGAAACTGGGATGGAGAGAAGCAGAATCAGAATCAGAGATTCAGAGACTATGCAGACATGGTACACACTGTGCAGTTATCAACATATTGACATTGGCACCCCAAGATCCACTTGACGCCCCCTCCTCCATCCCATGGTGACTGGGACTCTTAAGATCTCAATATCTGAGCTCTCTTGGACTTCTAGGCTTGGTTGGAGGAAGGAAGGGGTTGAGAGTGGGGGGAACACTCTAAAAACTTGGGGCAAGGACCTGAACTTGGGGGCTTGATTTGAATACTGAGGTTCTACTACACAGAAATCTAGGGATGAAGATGCATGTGGGGGAGGGGCGGGCAAGATCAAAGGCATATGGAAGTCCACATAACCTCTAATGTATACCAGCAGGCATGGAAGGATCCAGAAAAACGCAGTCACATGTGTATATATACACATACATTGCTACACCAAGCCAGGCACATTTTTTAAACACTTACAGATACTCAGGTTTGGTGCACTCAAATATTCCTAACAGAAAAGGTAAACATGTATTCAGAGGGGTCAGGAACCCCCCCCCCTGACACACACACCCCTAAAGAGGTAGTAAAAACAGTTACACAGATTGGAGTGTTACCGTGCCCATCCAATGTCTATCTGGTAAAATTCACAGTTGCCACCCCCCACTCCCCTTCGTTTTCTTTCTCCTAGGTGTTTCATTAACATAATACATAAACTTACATAGGGATTGCACACACAGAGACCCAGTTACTCTAGGTTTGTCGCCTCTCATCTCACACTTGGTCCCCTAGCCTTGTCAACCTCTCAGTCAGCCCATTGGCTCCTTCCTCTCCCTTCTCTCCTGCTGACTTCCCCTCCCCCCTCCAGATGTCTGAGCCATTTCTCTGATTCATCCTCCTCTGGAAGGTAACACGACCCCCTCCCCATTCCACTGCTCTCAGAAACCTGCCTGGGAAGATTAAGTGGAGATGGAGGGGGGGGGGAGGTCTAGGAATAGGGGAAAGCACCGAGAGGCAGGGGGAGGTCCTAGAGAGTTCTGTGTGGGTAGGTGAGAATGAGACACAGCCTCAGGGGCTGCTGCCCCCTCCTCTACCTGCTTTCTTTGGCATCCCCAGTCACCTTGGTTCTCAATTTTTCTTTTCTCCTTTAGCCTGCTCCTTCTACCTGTTTCAGAGTTCTTCTTTCCTCCCTCTCCTGCCCCCATCTCTTCTCTTGCCTTTCTCTACAGCTCCCAACCTCTTTCCCTGCAGAGCTGATGGGTTTTCTTCTGGGAAAGTCAAGCCACTGATGGAACCGAGAAGTCACTGCTGGCTGTAGAGGGAAAGCACGTGAGTGTGTGTGCCTGTGTGTGTGTGGTGTGTGTGTAAGAGAGAGGGAGAGAGGAGAATGAGGGTCAGTGCTAGGAAGAGATGAGGAGGGGGTTGAGGACATGCTCTGAAAGTCTCTTCTCTCTGAACCCCTGACAAACCACCCTGATCCCCGTTTCCAGAGTCTTAGGGTGTTGGTACCCGGCATGTGCCCGCGGGCACCCCTGTGTCCGCAGTTCTTGTGTGTCTGGTGTGTGTCATTGTCACTCCCCCCCTTTCCCTGCCCACGCCCCCGCACTGCTCTCTGCCTGCACTGCAGCCCCCTCCAGCCTCCATCCCTCCCCTTCATTCCTGCAGTGGCTGCTCCCCTAGCCTCCTTCCCCTCTTCTCTGCCCCCTCCCCATTTCCGTCCTCCACCCCCCTCCCACCCCCGCCCACGGTTGGTCTCCCTTCACTGGACCCGGCTAGCTGATGGAGTCTCTTTGCGCAATCTGTGCGTCATCGCCCCCCACCCTCCCCCGGAACTTCTAACTGTCCAAGCCCCCAGCCCCAGCCCCTCTGGTAGGAGATACTAACAAGGGGTCTGGTGGCAAAGGGGCGATCTCTGACGTTGCATGCTTCCCACCACCCCCCAACAGCGTTCAGACCTTCCCTTTAAAGCAGTGGAGAGAGCTGGAGTTGAGTCACCCCCCTCACCTGCGCAACCCCCTCCCCACCTGGTCTGCTCTCGCCCTCCAAACGTCCTTTGGGGGGGGAGGGAAGGAAACAGCAGGAGGGAAAGGAACAGGTGGGTGGGCTAAAGGGGGACACAGCAGGGGCTCTAACATACGCTAGAGTCAGCTGGACAGAAGGACACACCTTTTTCTCCAGACACGCACCGACCGTGAACAGACACGACACAGAGGCACACACATCCTCAATCTTTCTCTCTTTCTCTTCCGACTCGGACCCTCTCTGACGGGATTATCAAAACCGCAAGATCCACCCATCTGCCCCAGCCAGGGACCGGCACCCCGCACCGCAATCAGCGGACAGCGCCCGCAGGCGCGCAGATCCTTTCCTCTTCTTTCAGGTTCACGCCGTCCTTGGGCGTGTACCCCATAGACAGAAAGGCCGGGGGATGGGAGGTCTACCCCTTCCTTGGCTCGGAATCCATATCCTTCCTTTCCCCAGTATGGAACTCCTACTGGTCCCCAGTCAAACGCTGGGAGTGTCCCCATCCTATTCCGCTCAGCGATGCGGGCTCCCGCCGCTGCAAGTTGCTCTGTAACCCACCCTGCCGCCTTGTAGCGTCTCTGCATCCACCCTTCCATTCATTTTTTCATTCATTCATTCATCCTTTTCTCCTCATCCCACCTTCATTCATTCATAGACCCCCCCTGCCCCGCCCGCCTCGGCATTTCATTCATTCGTTCATTCATTCATTCATTTCCCCGGTGCTCATTTAGAGCACGCCCCGCCAGTCCAAGCTCCCAGTACGCAGGCGCAGGCCGGGAGAGGCAGGGATTCTCCAATCATTGAGTATCCTCCTGCCGCGAGGCGCCCGCCCGCTTCCCCATGAATGAACATTGACGTCAATGGGGCGGGGCAAGTCCACGTGACCTTGCGCGCTCTCCTTTATAAGACGCCAGCGGCGCGGGCGCTGTCCAGCGTGCTGAAGCCGGAGCGAGAGAGCTGCCCGGAGCCGCGCCGATCCAACAGAGCCCAGCCCACCGGACGCCAGATCTCGACCGTCGCTCGTTTCCCAGCCATCACTCGGAGCCGAGGCGGACGCGTCCCGATCTTTCCCTGTCCCCACCCCGCCCCGACCCTCCTCTCCACCTCCCGCGTCTGACACCAGCTGGTAAATACTCCGCTGTCCGACCCTCAAACCCTCGGCAACCGTGGGCGTGAGGGAGGGTTCTCTCCTCCCGGATGGGGGGGTGTTGAAAACACAGCGGGACGCCCCCGGTAAGGGTCCCTGATAAATAGGGAGTCGCCTCTTTTCTCTTGCTGCTTAAGTCGCCCACGCACCATCCGGGGAGTCCTGTAGGGAGGGAGCAGAGATTCCCCCCCTTATCCTTGCTGCTTAATACGTGGGCGCTGGCAGTGAGATGGCTCAGGGAAGGGGGCGAGGAGGCATTGGAGCAAGTGAGGGTTGCGGGCGTTTTCCCATTTACACGACTCCAGAGATCGGCACATCTTCCTTCTTCGCTCCTAAACGTTCCTCTTTTGGGTAAGGTTTAGAGGGAAGAGGGAAGCCCCGGATTTCCCGATTAAAGGTGGGGGAAGGGAATACAGAGTAAGAGATTGGGAAATTCTTACAGAAGTCCCCCCCTTTTTGTCCCTTCTATTTCTCAGCCTCAGGCAGCCCTTTTGCCATGAAATCGCTCAGGTTGCCGCCGGCTTCTGTTCTCTTCTGCTTCTTTCTACTGACCAAGGGGTTGGGAGCAGCGCCCCCGGGGCACCCTGAGGCGCAGCCACCTCCCCACAGCTCTGAGCATAAAGAGCCAGTAGCTGGGGATGCAGTGCCCGGGCAGAAGGATATTAGCACTCCAGAGGTCCGAGCCGCTCGAAATTCAGAGCCGCAGGACGAGGGAGAGCTTTTCCAGGGCGTGGATCCTCGGGCGCTGGCCACGGTGCTGCTGCAGGCACTTGATCGCCCGGCCTCGCCCCCGGCGCCCGGCAGCTCCCAGCAGGGGCCGGAGGAAGAAGCTGCTGAAGCTTTGCTGACCGAGACCGTGCGCAGCCAGACCCACAGCATCCAGGCGCCAGACACCCAGGCGCCCGCGGCCCCGCCTCGCCCTCAGACTCAGGAAAATGGTCCCGAGCCGGGTGACCCCTCCGAGGAGCTCGAGGCGCTAGCTTCCCTGCTCCAGGAACTGCGAGATTTCAGTCCGAGTAACGCCAAACGACAGCAAGAAACCGCGGCAGCGGAGACCGAAACTCGCACGCACACGCTGACCCGAGTCAACCTGGAGAGCCCGGGGCCAGAGCGCGTGTGGCGCGCTTCCTGGGGAGAGTTCCAGGCACGCGTCCCGGAGCGCTCGCCCCTGCCTCCCCCTGCTCCCCCGCAATTCCAGGCGCGTATGCCCGAAAATGGGCCCCTTCCCGAAACCCACCAGTTCGGGGAAGTAGTGTCCTCCCCCAAAACACACCTAGGTGAGGCACTGGCACCCCTATCCAAGGCGTACCAAGGCCTGGGCGTTCCCTTCCCCAAGGTTCGCCGGCCGGAGAGCTCACTCCTAGGAGGCTCCGAGGCGGGGGAGCGCCTTCTACAGCAAGGACTAGCGCAGGTAGAGGCCGGGCGGCGTCAGGCTGAGGCCACGCGGCAGGCCGCGGCACAGGAAGAGCGGCTGGCCGACCTCGCATCCGACCTGCTGCTCCAGTATTTGCTGCAGGGCGGGGCCCGGCAGCGCGGCCTGGGGGGTCGAGGGCTGCCCGAGAAGGAGCGAGAGAGCGAGAGGGAGGAGGCGGCGGAGCAGGAGAGACGCGGCGGGGAGGACAGGGTGGGGGAAGAGGATGAGGAGGCGGCGGAGGCGGAGGCGGAGGCGGAGGAGGCGGAGAGGGCGCGGCAGAACGCGCTACTGTTCGCCGAGGAAGAGGACGGAGAAGCCGGAGCGGAGGACAAGCGCTCCCAGGAGGAGACGCCCGGCCACCGGCGGAAGGAGGCGGAGGGAGCAGAGGAGGGCGGGGAGGAGGAGGACGACGAAGAGATGGACCCGCAGACGATCGATAGCCTCATTGAGCTGTCCACCAAACTCCACCTGCCAGCGGACGACGTGGTTAGCATCATTGAAGAGGTGGAGGAGAAGCGGAAGCGGAAGAAGAACGCCCCTCCAGAACCCGTGCCTCCCCCCCGGGCTGCCCCCGCCCCTACTCACGTCCGCTCCCCGCAGCCCCCTCCCCCCGCCCCCGCCCCTGCTCGGGACGAGCTGCCCGACTGGAATGAGGTGCTCCCGCCCTGGGATCGGGAGGAGGACGAGATGTTTCCCCCGGGGCCCTACCACCCTTTTCCCAACTACATCCGGCCGCGGACACTGCAGCCACCCGCCGCCTCTCGCCGCCGCCACTACCACCACGCCCTGCCGCCTTCGCGCCACTATCCCGACCGGGAGGCCCAGGCGCGGCGCGCGCAGGAGGAGGCGGAGGCGGAGGAGCGCCGGCTGCAGGAGCAGGAGGAGCTGGAGAATTACATCGAGCACGTGCTGCTCCGGCGCCCGTAACCGGCCCCGCCCCCGCGCGCCTCCGCCGCGCGCACCGCCACCCCCCTCCGTGTTGCTCCTCACCCTCCCAGTGTTTGCATGCTCCCCCGCCCTGCCCTCGGCCGCCGCCCGGCCCCGCCCCCGCCCGCGGGCCGCCTGGTCCCCGGCTGTGCCCCAACCAGTCGGGCCTCTTCCCCGGCCCGAATTCCCAAAACTCACTCACGGGTGTCCCGGGACCAGCCCAGGTGGGCGAGCGGTTTGTGCGAGTTACTGTTCCCTGCGGGGCTTGGTTCCCAACTAGTCCCTCTTGGGACGTTCCCTTCCGAAACCCGGAAAAAGCAGTTCCAGTTAATCGTGTGAAGTGTGTCTGTCTCTGGCCCTTCGAGCCCCTCCAGATCGCTGTGAATTTACCCCTTCTTTCCCTTTTCTGTTGTAAATACCCCTCACGGAGGAAATAGTTTTGCTAAGAAATAAAAGTGACTATTTTATTAGGACTTTGTTATCGGTTATTCACCCGTCCCCTGAGGCCTATGTGGTCCTTCCTAAGGGGCGGTGAGGGAAGCGCCAGCCTGGACACCCATCTCCTCCAGCTCAAAATAAAAATTTGAACCGTGGACTCTCTTTAAACCGTATTCAGGGTTTGAATGCGGTCCGGTCCGCATCTATTAAATCCTGAATTCCATTTCTAGCCAGGGCTGAGTGGACAAGGTGATGCAGTTCTGGGGCACCTAGAGGGGTCTGCTAAGACCCAGGCCACCTGGGCAGTGTTGGGTGGTTCCCCAACCCACTCTTCAGCTCAGTGAAGGAGCTTCCTTTAAATGTTCCCTAAATTCCCTGATCCCATGCATTTCACAAGAACTGCAAGGAGGAGGAATAACTGACAGACACAGAAACCACCTGGTTTTAGGGATTACTCAAGCCTTTTCTAAGGATAGGGAGAAGCATATATCCTTGAACTGCTGCCTTCCCTATCCCAATGAAAGTAATCCAGGGAACAAAATGTTCCACATGGAAATCTCTGTAGTGGAACCTGGTTTGCTCCCCACTGGTTAAAGGCAGTTCCAGGAGCTGGTGGCACCATTGCCAGAGAGGCACTGAGTCCAAGGATCTCTCTGGGGTATGAGTGCCAGATAAAACACAGGCCACCCAGTTACACGTGCATTTCAGATCAAAAAGAGAGCAGAGCCAGTGAGCTATGTTTACATAGGACACACCTATCCTAAAAATAGTATTATCATTCATATTAAACTGTTGTCCACGCCTTCCTGGTGGCACAGGGGGTTAAGTTTCAGCACTATCAAGCTATTGGTGGCCACTGTGGCATGAGTTCAATCCCCCCCGCAGGGAGCAGACCCAATGGCACAGCAGACTTCACCTGTCTCGCCTGCTGCTCCCCTCAGCAGTGTATTTCAGCCTATCTGCCTTTTCTGCTCCCCATTCTGTCTCTGGTGAATCCTCTCACCCCTTACACCTCTGGCCTATACCCAAGCTCTTGAATGTATAAATTAAAAATAAATCTTAAGGGCCCTCCCTGGTGGCACAGCGGGTTAAAGCACTGCACTAAGAAGCTAAAGCCACTTCCGCATGAGTTCGATGAGTTCGATTCCCGCCTGCCCCAGAGGTGACCACATGGCGTGGCAGACCTCTCCTGACCCGTCCACTGCTCCCCTCAGCAGTGTACTTCGTCCATCTGCCTGTTCTGCTCCCCACTCTCTCTGGTGAAGCCTCTCACCACTCCGGCGCCTCTGGCCTGTACCCCAGTTCTGTATGCACAAAATAAATAAATCTTTAAAAAAAAAAAATAAATCTTAAAAAGAAAAAAGGAAATGGTACTTCCAAGAAATAGGATCTGCCTTTGAATAAATAATGAATTAATTAAAATAAACTGGTATTCTCTCCCTTCCCCTCTTCCCCAAATCTGGCAAGACTGGTTCAGGAAAGAAGTGAAGGGCTATGCTCCCTTAATCTGTCTGATACTAGCAGCCATTTTTTCCTTCACAGAGCCTGAGGCAGGCAAAGTCCAGAAATGTTTTCCTTTTATTTCAGAGTAAAGGAAATAAAGTCCGACACTCCCCCCACCCCACCCCCTTAGCTTCTTCATCACCCAGAACCTGGAGTGAAGGGAAATCCAGTCTCCCCCAGTCTCCCGTGAAGACCTCCCTTCCCCCAATCCTCCTTTTTCTCAAAGTGGCAAGGTTAGAAAAAATTAACTATATTGTGGCTCCCCTGGCATTGGGCAGAGGCCCCAGAGCAGCCAAGAAGGAAGGGGAGAGTAGGTGAGGGAAAGGACTTCCCTTTCACTACACAGAAGCCCCTCCCAGGCAGAGCAGCAGCCCTGGCTGGCTTCCAGAGGGGTGGAGGTAGGTTATGGGGCAGGGAGAAGAGAATAGCCCTGAAAACCTTTTCCCTTTAACCTGACATATTTATATATTTACAGTTAGAAGGGCAGGGAGGAAGCTGGGGGTAACATTAGTTCCTCAAAGGCAGGGAATGAAAACCAAATAGCACCCCTGCTTGGTCACATTTTCTGATCTCCTAAAACCTTCTCCTAAAGCCTTCTTTGGGAAAATGGGAAACAGAAAGTACTGGACTAAGGGAGGGAATGTTTGAGGGTCCTGAGCCCAGAGCTCACTCCAAATGAAGATGAAGCAGCAGAAGGGGGCAGCTGGGTTCCACCAAGAAAGGGCAGCTCCAGCCCCATCTCTCCACGAGCTCCCCACATCTTCACACGGCCCAGGGCGGGGGCTACGCCAGACCCATCTCCTCCAACACACTGCGTGGCGATTCATCCTCCTAAGGCAGAGACAGACAGGGTGACGCAGAGACACCAGGAGAGGCAGACAGGGAATGAGGGAGAGGAGGTGGTCAAGAAAAAGCAATCACGAGGACAGAGGCAAGAGTGAGGGTGGGGGGAGCACAGAGACACGGGGAGGGGAGAGAGAAGCCAATATGAGCCCAACTTGGAAAACGCTGGAAACCCTACAGAGGAGCTCACTATCCTCCACAGACCACCCCCCAGGGCCAACTGTGGCTAGGAGGGGTTCCAAATTGAGTCTACCACCACCCAGAGACCCCAGAGTGTGGTGAGCAGGGGGCTCAGTCTTAATATCTGAGGGAAATGGAGGGAAGTTGGAACTGAGGTGCTTTTCCAGGGCTGGGGAGTGGCAAATGGCTTTTATTTTTTTCCCTCAGAGTTGGGGGAGTGGAATAAGAGGTTGGCATCAGAGAAGGTGAACCAGACTGCAGAGAGATGAGTCATTGGGGTCTGAGCAGAGCACTAGTAATAGGAATGTGAGTGTATGAGTGTGTGTGTGTGTGTGTGTGTGTGTGTGTGTGTGCAGGGGAAGCTGGACCAGTGAGTTGGCAAGTTCAATTCTGCCTTTTCTCCTACTGCAGAGATGAGCCCCCACATCTCTCCCCCTCCTCAGAGCCAGCTCAGTTGGCTTGCTCGTCACTGCAGATTCTGGTGACTCATCTCCCTGCACCAAGTCTCAGCAGTGGCACAGCAGAGAGGGGGCAGGCAGTAATGGGGAGAGGGCAGGCAGTAATGGGGAGAGGGCGGGGGTGCTAGCTATCTGGGAGAACCAACAGCCAGGTGTCCACTACTCAACCTCCAAATTGCCAGTCTTTTGCATCTGCAAAGCAGACTTTTGAGTATGTGTGTGCAAAAAAGAAGGAGGGAGATACCATGGAAGATAAGAATAAGCTACCATATGCCCCTTCTCCTATTCTCAGAGCCTTAATACCAAGAGAAGCGTGGGACAAGGAAGTTTGACTAGGAAGAGGCTCCTTGGGGCAATTGGCAGGGCAGGCTATGTGCCAGTTAGGGCCTGAGGGCAAGCTGGACAGCTGGGTGCCAAGGGGACCAGATGCTACAGGGAGGGGCTGCTAGGTGGTGGTGGGGAGGGGATAACTGTGACACCCAGCAGGCAGGGTGTCCAGGGAAGGACAGGTACACCCTGCCTTGGGACTCCTCTCGTCTGACCCAGGTCCATACCTCCTGCAGCAGGTCAGCCTGTTCAATAGCCTTCAGCACACTCTTCTTGGAGGTATCCTGGACGTCACCCCCCATCAAAAACTCATCCAAGATGAAGTAGGCCTTCTCGAAGTTGAAGATGATGTCTAGCTCGCACACCTGGAGGGAGAGAAGGCAGAGCTGCGTGATCAACCCACCAGCACACACCCCTCTTTACTTCTGAAGGTCTTCTCCATGACCATGCCTTCAACCTTGGGTTCTGGCCCTGGTTTTAGGTCGGACCAACGCTTTAGTGCTTGGTTTAGCTTTTCCTTCTCCTTGTATCTTTCTCTGTGATTATGTTCGATTATGTTGTAATATATTAGGTACTACTAGTATTAGGTTGCCTGAATCTCCTCCTTAAAAAAAAAATTATTTATTTATGTATAGAACTGGGGTGTAGGCCAGAGGTATGGAGGGGGTGAGAGGATTCACCAGAGACAGAGTGGGGAACAGAATAGGTGGATCTACTGAGATACACTGTTGAGGGGAGCAGCGGGCCAAATGTGCTCCATGTGGGTCAGCTCCCTGCCTGCGGACTAAACTCAGGCTGTGGTGGTGACAGAGCTGAGGCTTCACCCCTCTGCCACCAGGGAAGCCCCTGCCTAAATCTCCTCTCGACTCTGTTTTCTGTTACATTTTCCCACCAACTCCCATATCTGTGACACTGTTCCCTCTAGAGTACCTCTCCCTAGGTACTGTGGGGTAGATTCAGGAGAAGGAGATTCCGGATTATGGGTAAAAATACTTGAGTTCCAAGTAGGATCCGTCATAAATCAGCCAGCTGTATGTCATTTAATTTCTCTTTTCTCAGTTTCCTCAGAGACATCAATTCCCACTCATAGGATGCAGTGAGAGATAAACAAGAGACCCTGAAAGCACTTTGTGAATTCAGAAGTGGAATACAAATCATGGAGTTTTTAAATTAATGTCTGAACTGACTGCCAAGATGTAGACAATACCCCCTTCATAATCTCTGGGCATGGGACCCAGGCATGACCATAGATTCCAATATAAAGTCAAGGTCTAGAACTTCTGATAAAATCTGAATCTCAATGGCTTCTGTCCTTATAAGAAATCTGAGCTGAGCTCCAGGTGGATTGATTAAATGGCAGATTCTGTTCCTCACCTAACTCCCCCAGGCCAATTCAGGGGTGTGGCAAATAGGTTTAAGGCTTTTGAAAAGATTAATTTCTGTTCTCACTGTTCCCTCTAAGTCTTCCAGGGCAGAGACTGGAAGGGCCCCACACTCTGGTCAGAAAGGGGAGTGCTGGATATTGAAACTTGGGTGGGGGGAGACTTACACTGCCAAAGTACTTGTCCAGGAGCTCCACATATCTGTGGATCAGTTCCAGCGTGATGAGCTCATTGTCTTGGCCCTCGATGGCACAGCAGAAATAGAGGCTGGCGTATCTGAGGACAGGGCACATGAGGGAAAGCTGAGAGGCTGGTTGGCTTCAGGACCCAAGGATTCTGCACTTAATCTTCCCATTTTTCCCTATTCCCAAGTCAGGGTCTGTGTCCCTACTGGGCAAAGGCAGGAAGGCCCTTTGGCCCACAAACAGTAACTCACTCTTTGTAACGCAAATACAGGCAAAGCCGCAAGCTTTCTCTCTTGCACTCTGACCTGCTCAGTTTGACTCAGCAAAAACCTGAGCCAACTAATTCACCTGCTCAGAAAAGGAACTGGAAAGGGTGTACATGTATGGGGGAAGGAGTGTGGAGAAGCAGCACGGGATCTATGATGGCAAGAGCAAATGCAATGGACAAGACAGAGCCATGAGCCAAGGTATGGACATGAGGCAGTGTCAGGCTTCAGCACAGGCAGGTGAGAAACAAGAATTTCTTCCAACTGTGTTTGGAAAGTAAGGGATGTTGTAGTTCTTTCCTGCCCTCCAAATGTCCTTAGCGCCCATCTCTCCCTGACCTAGGGGGCCACTTATTTTTCATTTATTTGAACTCACTGCCAGACACCAGTCAAGCAGGATCCAGGCAGGTCTGTAAGAAGGTGAGGATCACCTTTTATAGACGACTTTGAGGTCCCTCCACTCCAGGAAGCTGCACATCTTGGGCTTTCGAGCCAGAACAACCTGCATAAGCTCCCGGACCATCTTCTTTCGTTCCTTGTCTGAGGTGGCCAGATACCATTTTTGCAGCCGCAGTTTTCCCTGCCGGCTGAATAGCAGCATGAATCGCATCTGAGGGGAAGGGAGGGGAGGCATAAACAAACAGTCCCAAACTCATCCCATCTAACTTTACTCACAGCTCCTGCTTTCCTCAAAAACCCAGCCCTTGCTGTCAATTCTGGCTACTTTCCAGCTTTCCACCCTCGAGATCAGAGTTTCTGAGCCTGTCATTTGGGTTCAAGTCCCATCTCCACTAGTTGAATATTTTGCCTTGGGCAATTAATTACGTTGTCTTTGGGCTTTAGTTTCTAGCTGTAAAGTGGAGATAATAAAAGCTCTTACCATAGGAAGCTGAGATTAAATGAGCTGATATATGCACAGTGCCTGGCCCTGTTACACACTGTAACACATTAGGAACTGCTAGTATTACTCTCTGAGCTCCTGTTTCTTAAGCTTGTTTTCCAAAGGTAAGTAAAATGCCTAGCGTGGTGACAAGCAGCCCATGGCTGCTTTTCTTCCATGCACCTTCATGTCCATGCTGAAGTCGGGTATTTTATCCCCCTGAGAAGTTACTCCACTTTCCCACCCACCCTAGGCAGTTTTATTATTCCCAAAGGGTTCCGAAGTTAGCACACGGTACTGGATCCTCAAATTCCACCCTCCTCTCTCCTCACTCAGATAATCTGGCTACTGACATTTCTCTTGTATTTAGGGCTCCTGCTGCTAAACACACACTTGTTTCCAGATAACATGAGACCTGTTCCCTTTCAGTCTCTCAAAACACAACCATCAGGATGGTTCTCCTAGAGACTGTTCGTGGGACAAAGTACAACCTGGATAGAGTGTGGGGAGAGAGGAGAAAAGGATCTTTCAGAACTCTCGATCCCATGCACCCCTAGCTTCCCACTTTTATGGGGTCCGGATCACATCCAGGAGTCATCTCATTCTCTCTTCAACTCTACTCTCTACTGGCATTGCCGGGGCTGGAACCCCTGGGTGTTTGGAAGAATACTACTTTAGTAGGCTGAAAATCGAAATGCAAGCGATCTGGGATTTTTGGCGCTAGGGAAGGGAAAGCGTCGCTGGTGTGGCGGGAGGAGAACACCAGACCGCGAGGGAGTTTTGCGTGTTTAAGGTGGGGGGTGGGGTGGGAGGAGCAGGAAGACGGAAGACCTGGGCACCGGAAAAGGGATTGGGAGGGTAAAGGAGGAGGGGACTGAGAACTCAGGGCCCGGGGTCCCAAAACGTGGTTTTGAGGACAAACCCTCGAGCTCCCTTCGTCTTCCCACCTCACTCCACCCTCTAGACGAGGAGAACGACAAACCCAGGCAGGACGTCCACTCCACGCACCCGGAAACTATTCCCTCCCACACATCGTCCCCCACGCCGGTCGCCGCTTTCACTCTGGGCTGCCCGGGAACTGAGGGGCTCGGCGGCTCGTTCCTTCCTTTACGAACAGGCCCCCGGCACCCGTATTCCTTGGGCGAATTCCCTGCAATGGTTGGGGTCCTTTGGATCGCGACCCGCACGCTCCCCTGGGCTCCCAGTCGCCCCACGGCCGCCCAGTGACCCCCACAATCGCCCTACAAAAGCACCCCCTCTCCGCCTCTTCTCCCTAAAGCCATTTCCAGTCGGTCTTCCTTTTGAGGCCGGCTCGCCCACCCGCCCAGTTACGTGAGGGCCTCAGGGGACCGGAGAAAGAAAGAGCGGCTTAGACAGAGGGTGGCCCCCAAGGACCCCGCAGGTGCAGCCCACGCCCCTCGGTTCCCCCTCCCCTCTCTTCGCACAGCCTACCATCCTGCAGCCTCCGGCTTGGCGCGTCCCTCTTCGGCCACCGTAGGTGCCAGCTCCACTCCTTTTTTATCTTTTCTTTTCCTTCCTTCCCAGTCGCTTGAAGCCCCGCCCCGTCCCGCCCCGGCTTCTAGGCCCAGAGTGTTGTGTACTGCGCAGGCGCCTAGGCCGCTGTGCGCGCGGGCGGGGTTGGAGGCGGAGATGGGGAAGCCATAGCAACCAGGTCCTTGACTTCAGCTTGAGTAGCCCTGTCGTCATGGTAACAAGGCTGTCAAGTGGGCAGGTTGGAGGATGGGAGAGGAGGACAATGAAGTCCTCGCGCATTGGAATCTTGGGGGAAAAGGCGGGAAAAGGGGTGAGAGGAGGGTGGACCGTGTGAGGAAACAAGGTGGACGAATGGAAAGGGCGTGGGCTAATGAGAGGGGACAGTGTGAGTACCGGATGGAAGGAAGGAAGTGAGATGAGGAAGATAAGACAAAGGATGGGGAGGGGGGTGCAGACATAAGTAAAGTATAGAACTTGAACTAGGTATTTCCTGAGAAGCTGCTAGATGCAGCGCTCTAGAAATGTGTAGGCAAAGGAGGAGTGAGAACTTAAAGAGAAAAGGAAGGGCTGATAGAGAAGATGATGTAAAGAAAAGGGGGGAGAAGACTGAATTAAGGTGAAAGGGGAAGAAGTGAAGAAAGTCTTCAAAGTCAGAAATGAGACAGATGTCATGAACACAGGTGTAAGGTGAGGGTGTAAATTCTAACCTGAGCTTTTGGCTGAGGATGTGAGCGTGTACACTACATCCTGTGTGTGTTCATGTGGTAAAGTGGTTTGTATATAAGAAAAAAATCTTAAATTTTGTCATGCTGAAAACTCAACGGTTATTTTTAGATAATTGGTAACTAATGATGCTGTTATTTTTGAGTAGCACTTGGAGCTTTGTTGGTAAGGTCTGCACTCTGTATGCTTCCCCCCCTTTCTCTTTGTTTCAGAGGTAATTTTGCTGTTTGCAAGAGGATGGGCCTCCTTCACTTGGGGTAGAGTTTGATCCCTGACCCCTACTTGATCTTCAGCCTGGGGTGGTATCATTTAACCCTCCATTTCCTCATTAAAAAAAATGATAATATGCTAGGGTGAGACTGGAGAGGTCTGCTGCACCATGTGGGTTAGCTCTCTGATGGGAGAGAAATCAGGCTGTCTCTGTGACAGCCCTTAGACTTAACCTCTAGGCCACCCTCTCATCCCCCACACCTCTGGCCTACACCCCCGTTCTTCTATGCAAAAATACATCAATAAACTCTCTAAAAAATAATTTAAGGGCCCTCCATTGTGGCACAACGTGGTAAAGCACAGCACCATGAAGCTATTGCAGCCACTGCAGCATGATTTCCATCTCCAGCCAGGGAGGTGACACACATGGTGTGGCAGACCTCTCCTGACCTGCCTGCTGCTCCCCTCAGCAGTGTATTTGAGTCAATCAGCCTGTTCTGCTCCCTATTCTGTCTCTGGTGAGTTCTCTCACTCCAGATCCGCAACTCTGGTCTGTACCCCAGTTCTGCATGCATGCATAAAAAAATCTTTTAAAAAATAATGAAAATAGTAATACCTACCTGCCACCTGTGTGTCAACCTATCTGTGTAGTCACAAGGATGTCTCTGGCACGGTGTAGACACTGGACACTGGAAACAGCTATAATCATTATTCTTTCCCACCTTCTTTCTTCTAATGCTTTTTCTTGCTTTCTTTTTCATTTCTCTTTCTACTCTGCCTATACCGCAGGTTTCCCAATGGCACAGATATTGAGTGAGCCACCTTGGAGTTATTTTTAAGGTCAAGTGTTCAAAAGAACAGACTATCATAGTGTGGAAAGGAGTGGAAGTGTGTAAGAAGAAAACAAAGGAAAAGAAGTAGGGGGAAGAGATTGGCTACAAGGAAGTACTGAGCAGTGAGGTAAAGACAGCACAGAGAGGTAGATAACAGCCTGTAGAATTTTGGAAGCTGTACAGATATAAATTCCTACACTTCTTGGAAAGCTCATACTTTCTAGAATTTCTTGCCTCAATGTGTGCAGCTTGTTTCTTTAGCTGCAAAAAAGATGAGATTCATGAGAGAACTGATAGAATTATGAATTTTGCTCATGCAGAACCAGAACTCAAGTTGTTTAAACTAGTTAGAAGAGCATGGACTGGATTTATTCATTGTTAATGAATGATGAATGTATCAGTTGGTAGATCCAATACTCTTTGTACCTGAAGATGAATTCAGATTTGATGTAGTGGGCAGATGGGAGTTGTTATGGTTGTCTGAGGTGATAAATAACTTGGAGAAAATGTTTTAAGAAAGCTAATCCAATAAGGGGATAGTTAGAAGGAGAACTGGAAGACTGGAAGTCCTCTGAGAGGCAGTTTTGGGAATCTTGGTGTAAGGATGAAGTGAAGAGGGACACATTAGAGAGATACCTGTAATCCCTCAATTGATAACTCATCTCAACTGAGAAGAATGAAGAAGAATCAGAGATGAGCCTGAGACTTAGTGGCACCATGTGGATAAGTGTCCAAATGGAAGAGGTGACATTCTCCTTCATAGGTGCAGATAGTGTTTGCATTGTCTTTCTATCAACCGTGCTGATACTTCCCAGTGCCTGCTCTCATCTGGTTGGAGAGCTGTTCCCTGTAGTAGAAGCAAGTTGCAAATGAGCTCTGATGTCTTTCATCCGTGAGTCTGTGGTCTGTTTCTCCCTCCTCTAGTGCTCTCTATTCTCTTTTTTTGCCTGCTCCTTAAGTAGCCATAGTTCCCCAGTCATACCACTTGCAGTCACCTCTGACATTTAAAAAAAGACTAAAAGTTAATTTTTGTGTAAAAGAACTGGGGTGTAGGCCAAAGGTGCAGAGGGTGAGAGGCTTCACCAGAGACAGAGTGGGGAGCAGAACAGGCAGAATAACTGCTGAGGAGGGCAGCAGGTGAGACAGGAGAGGTCTACTGAAGGCAGGGGGTTGTTTTGGGGGGGCCCTGTTGAACTCAGGCTGGTCTCAAGGGTTAGTGGTGGTAGCACTGAGTCTTATCCCCTAGACCACAAGGAGAGGCTAATCTTTTCCTTTTTTTTTTTTTTTAACTGAGCAACTGAAACCTTTACGCTGTCCCTAACAGTCCTGATGGTCAGAACACTTTCTTTGGTAGATATTTTCTATTCTTTTTCACCTTCTATTCTAAACCACCTCCTGAGAGTTTGGGAACCCCACTTTATGAGTCTGCAGGGAAAGAAAGCAAGCTCCCACTGTAGCCGCTGAAATTTCTAAACATTTGCTTTTTCAGCCTTCTTTGCAATGCCAGAATGGAGCTGTCTCCTGGATTTGGCCAGTTAGTGCATCTGCCTGCATTTTGGCCTGAGAGGGAATGAGGTGGGTGTGGGGTGATGGAGGGTAGGTAAGACGTGCAGAAGTTCAGAGGATCAAATATTTCTGGAGGCAGTGGAGTGTCCCCAATGGCATCATCTTGTGGGACAGAGGTACCAGTGATCTGAACCACTGTTCCTAATGTGAGACACACACACCCCCAACCTGAGTCTCTGGCCTTCCTATAATTTTCTGAGCTCCCCATTTTCTTTTTGCATTCAGCAAGTCATTCTCTTCTTTATAACTAAGAATTCTGATAAACTTGATATTCATGTCACCTTGTCCGTTGATTGTAAGATCCATCATCCATGTGGCCATGAGTCCTTCTGAAGAACATCTTTTGTTTCTTCAAAGCACCCAGGATATTGCTTGTCGATTGACTAGTTATAATCTGTCTGCTTAGTCGTCAAGCCCAGATATTTAAAAAAAAAAAAGATTTATTTATGGCCCTCCCTGGTGGTGCAGCAGGTTAAAGCACAGCACAAAGAAGCTTAAGCCACTTTCGCAGGAGTTCGATTCCTGCCCCAGAGGTGACCACATGGCGCGGCAGACCTCTCCTGACCCGCCTGCTGCTCCCCTCAGCAGTGTACTTCGTCGATCTGCCTGTTCTGCTCCCCACTCTGTCTCTGGTGAAGCTTCTCGCCGCCCCTGAGCCTCTGGCCTGTACCCCAGTTCTGTATGAACAAATAAATAAATCCTTAAAAAATATGCTAAGTTCAAATTTCATGTTTAATAGCATCTATTTATTATCTAGTATTCATGTTAGATGATAAACTGTCTTCTGCACCGGGTGTTTGTTGAATGAATACATGTATAGTGGATCCCCCATTTGAAAATTCCATTGTCATCTCAAATTTGCCCCAAATGAGTTACTTTCCTTCTGCCTTTCCCCCCAAACCATCCCATATCTTGGTTTCTCACTGGCCATTCCCTCCAACCCCCTTTTCCTAGCTGGCAGTCTGGGTCATGAAAGGAAACATTCAAGCATGTCTGAATGCCTGGGAAAGTGAGAGCACACTGGCTCAGGTGTCCTGAGGAGCAAGGGAGACATCTGAAAACCAGCTACTTGGGACGTCATCCTCCTGTGGGCTCACAGCCTGCCTTGCTGGTCTTTTTACTTTGTAATTTTGTTCACACTGCTCTCTGAAGTGCCTTGCCATTTCTTCCCCAAACCCCTTCCACCCACCTTTTTTAAAAAAAAAAAATTTTGTTTATGCATACAGAACTGGGGTACAAGTCAGAGGTGCAGGGGGTGAGAGGAGTCACCAGAGACAGAGTAGGGGAACAGTACAGGCAGACTGATGAAGTACACTGCTGAGGGGCGCAGCGGGTGGGTCAGGAGAGGTCTGCCTCGCCATTTGGGTTGCCTCCTAGGTGGGGATCAAACTGAAGCCGCTGCTGCTAGCTTGTAGTGCTGCATCCTAACCTGTTGCACCACCTAGGGTGGCCCCAAATGCCTTCTACTTATTCTTGAAGTTTCAATCAAGGAGCCCCTCCTGTTGAACCATTTTATTGTGGAGCACTCAGTCACACGCCACATGCAGTCAGTCTCCAGAAGATAGCTCCCTTTAAAGGCTCTTTTCTTATGGGGACCCCGAGGAGCGTCCTGACACAAACCTCAGTGGCACAGCCTGCCGCTCGCCCAGGCTGGAGGGGACACCAGTGCCTGTGCACGCCGCCTTTGCCTAAAGCCCCATGAAGCAGTCAATACCGGAACGATTGCTGTTAGTGTTCCTTTCCATCATTTTGCATAGTTTTTCAGCTTCCTGTGTCTGTTCTCCTTTGGTGCTTGAAGAACCATCACTTTTTAATGCTTCACAGCACTCAGTATAAACTTAGGCTTTTAGATAAATACTTGTTCAATTGAATGGAGCTCAAACTCGCAAATTTTGGCCAGAGCCACAGCCACTTCTCTTCACGAACTTTCCACTGGAGTCAAAGCGACACCTGGTGGCTCAGGGAGAAAAGGCTGCACTCAGGACACCTGTGCTCAAGCTCAGGCTCAGGCTCAGGCGACAGTAGGTGCAGATGCTCTGGTGGCCGGCAGCACGGCTGCTCCTGACTGTGGGCCCTCGTCTGTGTTCAGGGAGACCTGCGTCCCTAAGGCTGCAGAGGCGCGAGCTGTCCCGCACGGTGCTGAGCGCAGAGGTGCATGATAGGAAGTCATTATCACAAGAGCCAGTGACTCAACCTCTCCAGCTTAGTTTCCTCACCCCATCCGCAAGTGCTTGCTACGATTAGTACAAAGCAACTTGCTTGAGAAATCTAAAATCCTAAAAATGGTGTAAAAAGCAGATGGTATCTCCTTACAAATTCACTCCTGTTGAATATTTTTACCATTGAGGGATTTGCAAAATTCCTACTCCTTACCCACTCCACTCGTGGGCAGAGAAATAATTCCATTGTGTGAGATTTACAAGAAATCTGCAGTAATGATGGCTGGTGGCAGATATTGCTAGATCTTCCTTTCTAAAGAAGTAAACAGAGGAAGAAAGTCTTGGAATGGCCAAGGAGGGGCCCAGGCAGAACCAACAGAGCTGGGCAGGCCCTGCACAGTGAGGCTGCACCAGCATCTCGGTCCTGAAAATATCTGAGAGGAGCAGAGGGCGTGTTAAATGGGGCACTTCCTGGAGCGAACGTCCTCTGCAGTGATGAGGCCTTCTAAAGAACTTTCTCAGCATGTGTGGACAGGTTTTGAACTATAGGCTGCAGAATTAAGGCTATCTTGTGCTTTTTGAAGCATCTTGTAGAACAAAGAGGTTCTTTCAGTTTCCAAGCAAGTCTGTTACATATAGGTAACCTCTCAACAACTAGCCCAGAGCCTGGATTTGGTGGTATTTTTCAGGGTGTAGGAAAGTGAAAAGGTGGGTCCCCACACCCCTGAATGCTTGGATTATTGTCTTTGTGACCCCAGCTACTCTCTTACCAGCCCAAAGCAGGGTCTATAGGAGAAGAAGGCAGAAAAGTGCCCTGTTATATTTATCAGAGGATTTGTTTTCCTTGGTTTCAGTTTTCTTCATCAACTAAGGTCTGAAAATATTAGGTACAATAAGCTATTTTGAAAAAGAGCACATTCATATAACTTTTATTATAGTGTGTTGTTATTGTTATATTTTATTATTAATTATCATTGTTAATCTCTCACTGTATAAAATATTACAATATAAAATTAAACTTTATCACAGATATATATATAGATAGGATACAGCACAGTATTACAGGATTTGGGACTATCTGCAGTTTTAGGCTCCTCCAGGAGGTCTTAGAAGGTATTCCCCATGGATAGTGGGGGAAGGCTGTGTTACTGTAGGAAGAGGAATGCTTTAGCACCAGATGAAGTTTAGGCCTCAAGACTATAGAAAGAAGCCTCTTGTGAACTGGATTGGACTACCCTAGTTTTTTCTATCTCCTCTAAATGTTGAAAAGCAAGCTGAATGGCCTCTATGGTCTTTTTCTCTAGCTTTACAACCATGTCTTGATCCTACAAAGCTTGCTAGTTACACAGTAAGACTAGGAAAGGAAAGAGGAAGAGCTCATTGACGGTGAGAGAATGAGAGAGGCTCGGGGCCTCTTACTGTACCAGGCTTCATTGGGACAAGTTCTGATCACTATAATTCCATTGTGTGAAAAATTCCATTTTCAATCATGAATCCAGAAAGGGTATTCATTCATTTGCTCATTGTTCAGTCATTCAATATAGAGGCCCTTCCCATCCCTGCTTCCCTCACAGGGGGAAGTCCAGAGGCATTTTGGTGTGCCTCAACATGATACACTACAATATTCAAAGGAGACAGCGTTGATTGACACCTTTTTAAAAAATCATATAATATTTTATTTTTACATCATTTTGTGCCTTTTTCCATTTCAGTTGTAAGCCCCCATTTGCTTCCCATAACCAGATCACCCATGTGCCATCACCACAGTCCAGTGCATTTCTCTCCCCCTCCTATTTTTGATCCCATTCCCCACTCCACCCCCATAAAATGTCTCTGGTATATAGCTGTTCATTAGTATTATTTTCTCGCCTGGTCTGTTATACTGTTGTTATGAGTGAAACCATTCAGTATTTTTCCTTTTCTTTCTGGCTTATTTTACTAAGCATGATCTTTTCCAGCTCCATCCATGTTGCTGCAAAAGGCATGTGTTTATTTATTTCTTTTTTTTGGGTTGCTGAGTAATATTCCATTGTGCATATGTACCACATCTTTTTGATCCAGTCATCCACTTTTGGACATTTGGGCTGTTTCTGTGTCTTTCCAGTTGTAAATAAAGCAGCAATAAACATGGGGGTGCAGGTGTCTTTTTGAATCAGTGTTTTTGTGTCTTTTGGGTAGATACCTATGGGTGGGATTGCTGGGTCGTAGGGAAGCTCCATGTTTAGCAGTTTGAAGAACCTCCAGTTTTCCATAGTGGTTGTACCAGTTTGCATTCCCACCATCAGTGCAGGAGAGTTCCTTTTTCTCCATATCCTCGCCAACATTTGCTGTTGCTAGTTGTTTGAAGATGTGCCATTCTCACTGGGGTGAGGTGGTATCTCATTGTGGTTTTAATTTGCATCTCCCTTCTTACAAGTGATGTTGAACATTTTTTCATACAGGATAAATTTTTTCATACAGGGTGGAGAGAGCACACAGGACTATGGTGATGACAGCCTATGGGTGAAGTGGTAGTGGGAAGTCCAT